CAGGCGGGCAGGGCGGGGCAGCACCATCCGCTGCCCGCCCTAACCCCGGGATTGGGCCTGCCCTGTGTGACCCAGGGCAGTGGGGCAGGCACCGCAGGATCAGGCCTGCCATCTGCCACCCAGGGAGTGGGCCTAAGCCAGGAGGTGGTTATCTCCCGAGGGGTCTCAGACTGTGAGAGGGCACAGGTCAGGCTGAGGGACACCGCCCCCCGCCCCCCGCCAGTGCACAAATCTTTGTGCACCAGGCCTCTAGTTTTATTATAATTTGTCCAGGACCCTAGTAAGGTCACATTGAGGTCATGTCATTTTCTTCTGAGCTTGCACTAAGAACCCACTGGTTCCAAACCTGCCCACTGGTGTTCTACTGGATGCTGGGCCACCCATAGAGAAATGAGCTGAAGGCAATGTGGTCTGACCCCTGTTCAGGACCCCAGGGCAGGCCCTGCCTCAGCTGCTCATGTCTAACTTCCTACCTAACACCTCTCTCAGTAACTTACTTTCTTTCTCTTTTGAAACACCACAAGCACCCCAGAGGCAGGCCTGCCACCTGGAGTTCACAGGGTTGTTCAAGAAAGTCAGGGTTTGGCAGTGTCCTTTCGTAATCTCCAACATGTCAGTCCAACCAAGTAACTATGTCCTAACCCAGTGGTTGGCAAACCGAGGCTTACGAGCCACATGCGGCTCTTTGGCCCCTTGAATGTGGCTCTTCCACAAAATACCACACGCGGGCATGCTTGTACAGTGCGATTGAAACTTCGTGGCCCATGCGCAGAAGTCAGTTCTTGGCCTGGGCGAGTCTATTTTGAAGAAGTGGTGTTAGAAGAAGTGGAGGTACATTCGCTGAGGTCAACCCCTCAGATTGAGGACTTTTTGTTTGTTTGTTTGTTTTTAAATTAAATCTTTATTGTTCAGATTATTACAGTTGTTCCACTTTTTCCACTCATAGCTCCCCTCCACCTGGTTCCCACCCCACCCTCTGCCCTTACCCCAGCCCACTGTCCTTATCCATAGGTGTACAATTTTTGTCCAGTCTCTTCCCGCACACCCTACACCCCTTTCCTCCCAGCCCCTGAGACTAGTCAGTCCCCTCCTTTTCTATGCCCCTGATTCTATTATTTTCACCAGTTTATTCTGTTCATCAGATTATTTATTCACGTGATTTTTAGATTTATTTGTTGATAGATATGTATTTGTTGTTCATAATTTGTATCTTTACCTTTTTCTTCTTCTTCCTCTTCTTAAAGAATACCTTTCAGCATTTCATGTAATACTGGTTTGGTGGTGATGAACTCCTTTAGCTTTTTCTTATCTGTGAAGCTCTTTATCTGACCTTCAATTCTGAATGATTGCTTTGCTGGGTAAAGTAATCTAGGTTGTAGGTTCTTGCTATTCATCGCTTTGAATATTTCTTGCCACTCCCTTCTGGCCTGCAAAGTTTCTGTTGAGAAATCAGCTAACAGTCGTATGGGTACTCCCTTGTAGGTAACTAACTATTTTTCTCTTGCTGCTTTTAAGATTCTCTCTTTGTCTTTTGCTCTTGGCATTTTAATTATGATGTGTCTTGGTGTGGTCCTCTTTGGATTCCTTTTGTTTGGGGTTCTCTGAGCTTCCTGGACTTGTAAGTCTATTCCTTTCACCAGGTAGGGGAAGTTTTCTGTCATTATTTCTTCAAATAGGTTTTCAATATCTTGCTCTCTCTCTTGCACCCCCATAATTCGGATTTTGGTACTCTTGAAGTTGTCCCAGTGGCTCCTTACACTATCTTCATATTTTTTGATTCTTTTTCTGTTTGTTTTTCCGGTTGGGTGATTTTTGCTTCTTCGTATTTCAAATCTTTGACTTGATTCTTGTGATCCTCTAGTCTGCTGTTGGAACTCTGTATAATATTCTTTATTTCAGTCAGTGTATGCTTAATTTCTAGTTGGTCCTTTTTCATATCCTTGAGGGTCTCACTAGATTTCTTGAGGGTCTCACTAAATTTATCGGCGGTTTCTAGAAAATTCTTGAAAAACCTTATAAGTTTGGTTTTGAACTCTATATCCAGTAGTTTGATTTCCTCCATTTCTGTCATTTGTGACCTATTTCTTTGTCTCCGCATTTTTTATGCTTCCCTGTGTTGATAGAGTGGCTTTCTGTGCTCGGTGTCCTATAGAGCCCAGTGGCTCAGCCTCCCCACTTACCTGTGATGGACACTCTTGACCTCCAGGCCAATTGGCTGTGAGAATCAGCTGTGTCTGCAGTGGGAGAACTTCTGTGCTGGAGACACCTTTATGGGGCAAGACTTGCTTCAGTGGGGCTTTGGTGCTCACTGAGTCTGCCCCCTGAGTGTGTCCCTTATGGATCTGAGGAGTTGTAATCTGGATGGTCCCACTCTGACCACTGGGTACACTGGCTCTTGGATCTCTAAGGAGGTGTTAATTTAGCCTCTTCCTGAGGTTACCCAGCAGGAGCTACGGAGAGATCTGTAGATTCCTCTTCTTTGTTTGGGATTTTCAGGTGCCCAGATGAGGCCCAGCTGTGAAGCTATGCAAGCTGCTGTGGGTCCTTGGGCCTTGTTTTGGATGTTCTGGGTCTCTCTGACGCAGCTGCAGTTTGTTAGGTAATTGTAGATTGCAAAGGGCCAGGTCATTCATATGCAAAAACCTCTGCACATAGCTTGGGTGGAGCAGGGTCTCAGGGAATCAACAGGGTGGAGCAAACAGCTATGGCTGCTCCTCAGTTCTGCCCTAAGAGGTCCTGGGTCTCAGTGTTTCACGGTAATTGCTGCAAGCACCTTTGAGAGAAAGCCGCCCTTGAGTTCCAACTGATGCCAGACAGTCCAGTTTCTCCCCGTATGAGTCTGGGTCCCCAGAGACTCTCCAGGAACTGGAGTTCAGAGCAGTTGGGAGCTTGAGACTCCCTCCTGATTGAAAAAGACAACCACCTCCTCAGTTGCCAGCCCTTTCCACATGCGCCTCTGTACCTCTGTACTTTACTTCCGCACCTCCTCTAAGTCTCAGTGTGCTTTTCTCTTTTTTTATAGTTGTAGAATTTCCACTCAGCCAGCCTTCCTGTGGTTCTGGATGATGTCCATTTTGTCTTTTAGTTGTATTTTTGAAGTGGTTGTGCGAGGCAGCAATTTCCTGTGTTTATCTATGCCGCCATCTTGGTTTCTCTCCTTGAGGACGTTTTTAGCAAAGGCCAGTTTAGGAGTACCCTAATTAAGTTAATAACAATGTACCTACCCATATAGTTTAAGTTTAAAAAATTTGGCTCTCAAAAGAAATTTCAGTCGTTGTACTGTTGATATTTGGCTCTATTGACTAATTTGCCGACCACTGTCCTAGCCAATTAGGAACATACTTCTGCCTACACCTCAAGGCCTGGGTCATGGGTGTCAGGCCCCAAGCCTTTCAGGGAGAATGAATAATGAATATGAGAAAGAAAAGGGAGAGGAAGGCTGAGAGAAGAGAGGAGCCATCTGATCTGGGTAGGGAGAGGGGAACCTTAGCCTGAATATCAACAGCTGTGCTTTATCTGTATGACCCTGGATCAGTTTCTTCAGAGTGATATGGTTAGAATACATAATCCTGAAAACCATTATTTTCTAAAATTGTATTAAGGTAAAGAAGATGGGAAACGGAGACAATGGATATGTTGGGAGGTATTCACATATAAAGACCCTCAATTGCTACTTAGACCCTGACAAAGAAATTCAGCAGCTATCTGAGTAATGTTTCCTAAATGCAAAGTTACGCAAATTTGGGTCTGAGAACCGCTGAAGCACTATAAATTCTATTTTAAAATTTTGTTTGAGGCAACCTAAAATATATCACTGTAAGTATATTCTGGTTCATTTCTAGGAATATCTTGTAACCGCAGGATGATTAAGTTTACAATCATGTAGTAGTGGTAGAGAATTTTATTTCCATTAAAAGGTTGGAGAAAAGTTGTTCTGGTATTTAATATCCACAGACTAGACTTTCTTCATTTTTATCTAACCCCAGTCACTTGCTATATATTTATGTTGAATTTCAAAACCCGAAATTTGAAGGGAAATAACACAAACTTAATTTGGAGTAAAAACTAGTGTGAGCAGTGCCTTTTAATTCCAAGAATGTGAGAGAAAGTAACATAAACTACATTTTGATTGTCTATATCTGAAAATGTGGCAAGAATTTCTTTGTTTATAAGTAACAAATAGGCATTATTTCTATGATCTATATTAGAAGTTGAATTACGTCTCTTTGAGGTATTTATTAAGAGAAATGGATTTATAATTGTTGGTAAAAATAAAATTTAAACTTCATTTATGTTTCCTCTGAAGTGGGTTTAGTGTATACACTTAAGTAATATTTTTCATATTACCGTGTCCAGTTTTAATTTTTTTTTACTTATATATGTACTAGAAGGGCTATTTGATATTTTCTGCCTTAAGTATTCATTTTGTATTAAATATTATGAGCTTGCTTTTATTTATTTTTTTAAAAAATATTTTTATTGATTTTTAGAGAGAGAAGAAGCGAAAGGGATAGAGAGATAGAAACATCAATAAGAGAGAAACATTATCGATCAGCTGCCTCCCACACATCCCCTACTGGGGATCAAGCCTGCAACTCAGGCATGTGCCCTGACCAGTAATCAAACCGTGACCTTCTGGTTCATGAGTCAACACTCAACCTCTGAGCCATACCAGCTGGGTGATCTTACTTTTAGAGTGAATGAATGTGAGATTGAGAAAATGATGGAGAGAGCTGATTTACTTGTTCTGTGCAGTGATGGTAAACATGGGTTGCAATCCACTTTTATTTTAAATGGACTCATGGAAAAAGCACAAATTAGAATTAAAACAAGTTGGCAATTAGGTCACATATTTTACTAAGCTGTGATTGGTAATATGAAAAGTAACTTCACAGTAGATAGTCATATTTCTTCAGGTTACAAAGGTCAATGAGAAGAGAATGGTGGTACAGCTAAGCTAAAGATGGTGCAGGTATTTGAAGACTGTTTTTGCCTCATAGGTGTGCATTTATATTATGTCGGGGGAGAGGTCTATGCTGAGTGTGTGAGCGACAGCAGCATCTTTGTCCAGAGCCGGAACTGCAACTATCAGCACGGTTTCCACCCAGCCACTGTCTGCAAGATCCCCAGTGGTTGTAGCCTCAAGATCTTCAGCAACCAGCTCTTTGCTCAGCTGCTTGCTCAGTCAGTGCACCATGGATTTGAAGTCGTCTATGAGTTAACTAAGATGTGCACTATCCGGATGAGTTTTGTTAAGGTAAGGAGTGCTTGCTTCCACATTGAAGATGGAAACTGAAAAAAAAAAAAAAAAGGCATTCTTTGGTTGATGTGGCAGTTACATAGCCAGTTCTAGTAGACAGCAGGGGTTTTTTTTTGGAAGTTTATTTCTATGAGTATGATCTCTCTTGTTTAGCAATTATAAGAAAATTCTTAAGCATAACACTTTTGGAGGAAAAACAACTTTAAGTAGTTATCTGATTTTTAATGCAGAAGATAAAGTGACAATAATATTTTTATAAGATGCAAGGCTATAGAGATTTTTCCAACCCTCAAATTGCCAAGCATGATTATCCTATATAATAAAGAGGTGATATGCAAATTAACCCTCATGCCCTCACAAGATGGCTGCCTACGACCAGGCCAGCAGGGGGGTTAGTGAGGGATGATCAAACAACTGAACAGCAGGCTGCGTGGGGCAACCAGGCCAGTGGGGGGGGGGGGGGGGAGGGGCAACCGGGCCCACAGGGGGGCAGTTGGGGGCGACCAGCCAGTCACAGGGGGACGTTGGGGCAACCTGGCTGGCAGCAAGGGCCAGTTAGGGGTAACCAGGCCGGCATGCAGAGGCAGTGAGGGGCGATCAGACTGGCAGGGGCAGCAGTTAGGGGTGACCAGGCAGGCAGGCAGGCAGGTGAGCAATTAGGGACCAGTGGTCCTGGATTGGAGAGGGTGCAGGCTGGGCTGCGGGCACAAATTTTGTGCACCGGCCTCTAGTAACTTAATAAATGTTGATGAATTTGCCTGAATGAAATTAGAGACTCCTCTAACTCAGCATACAGGCAAATGGAAGAGGTAATATCCTATATAATAAAAGGCCAGAGGTGTCACAACTGAAATGACCAGAGACCAGACCACCATGGCCCTTCATGGGCTGGCCCCGCCCCCAATCAAGTGGTTAGGGGCAATCAAGCAGGCATGCAGAGTGGTTTAGGGTGATAAGGTAGGCAGGCCAGCTGTTAGGGGTGATCAGGTAAGCATATGGCCCCTCACTGGGCTGGCCCCACCCCCAAGCAAGTGGTTAGGGGCAATGAGGCAGGCAGAGTAGTTAGTGGTGATCAGGTAGGCAGACCAGCGGTTAGGGGTGATCAAGTAGGTAGGCAGTGGTTAGGGGTGATCAGGTAGTCCGACCAGCGGTTAGAGGAGATCAAGTAGGCAGACGGCCCCTTGCTGGGCTGGCCCCACCCCCATGCAAGCAGTTAGGGGTGATCAGGTAGGCAGACCAACAGTTAGGGGTGATCAGATAGGCAGGCCAGTGGTTAGGGGAGATCAAGTAGCAGACAGCCCCTCGCTGGGCTAGCCCCGCCCCCAAGCAAGCAGTTAGGGGCAATCAGGCAGGCAAGCAGAGTGGTTAGGGGTGACCATATAGGCAGACCAGCGGTTAGGGGTGATCACGTAGGAGGCAAGTGGTTAGGGGTCATCAGGTAGGCAGGCCAGCGGTTAGGGGAGATCTGGTAGGCAAATGGCCCCTCGCAGGACTGGCCCTGCCCCCCAGCAAAGAAAGAGGGAGGCCCAGGCCAGCCAAGCCATCGCACCCCAGCCTGTCACCTGCAGAGGGAGGCCACTGGTGGCAGGGGAGGGGGTCAGCACTGCACAAATGGCAAGCAGTGGCAGCGGTGAGGATGGGGCCAGCTGCCTTGCAGACAGGTGAAGGAAAGCCCTCAGGCCAGGCCTAGGGCCCCTCACCGAGGGTCCCAGATTGTGAGAGGGTGCAGGCCGGGCTGAGGGACACCCCCCCCCCCAGTGCACAAATTTTTGTGCACCGGGCCTCTATATATATATCCATCCAAACAATCAGTATGTCTTGTTCTAGATGTTTTTCAAGTAAAATTTATTAGTCTTTTAAAATTACCATGAAAAATAATTGTCCAGTTTTTCTGTACTCAAATTATGTTTTTATTGTATTTTTAATTTTAGTAATTTTAAAAAATCAAGAATACAAATACAATTTAAAAACGACTTCTTGAAACTATTTCTCTTTTATGATGACAAAGCAGTTTTATTCAGTTTTGCTGGTAAGCTGTAAAAAGCATTTTTACATTGTAAAACAATTAACTAATATCTGGAAATTTTTTCCAATTTCTGATGCTTTAGACTCAGCAGAGGGGATTAAATTGCCATTAATGAACAATCATTTGAATTGTATGGTTATTTTTCCAGGTTTTTGTTTTTAAAATTAGGATGAAATACCAATATCTCAGAGGTAATTATTTCACTATAATATATACTTGCATAGAAATCTGATTTCCCAAAAATCAACCAGATGTATTTAATAGATATACAACATTTAAATCATAAAGCTGCACAATTCACTGAAAACAAAGTCCCTAATATTTCAGGGACTTTAAAAAAATTCTTAGCAAATATAACTACAGATGATCAGTTTAAAAGAAATTTAAAAGCTCTCATCACATTAAAGAAATGTGTAACAATGGGAGGTGATGGATCTTAACTAAACTTATAGTGGTAATCATTTCGCAATATATGCATATACCAAATCGTTATGTTGTATACTGAAAACTGATACAATGTTATGTATCAATTATATCTCAATAAAACTGGGGAGGGGGGGAGACAGTACAAATTAAAAGAACATAAAATATTTCATTACTAATTTCATACTGATTATATATTGATATAATATTTTGGATATATTGGATTGATTAAAACATTACTAGATTTTAAAAAATACAAATGAAATAAATTATAGATGGCTAAACACTAGTGGCTATTATTGGGGGATGATAGACTAGATCATCTTTAAGGACTCTTTCAGCTCTAATTCTTACTAATTCTAGGGCTCATTTCATCAGTCAACAAATATTTTTGAGCACCTATCATGTGCCAGGTTAGGCACCATTCTAGGAACTGGAATACATCAATGATTATGCAAAGATCTCTGCCTTCATAAAATCAATATAATAGGAAAGAGAAACACAATAAACAACAGCTATAATAAAGAATTTGAATGTAAAGATAAAATGCAGAGCAAACGAAATTGGAGTGCTGGGGAAGAGGTAGATTGCAGGTTTTAACGAGGTGGTCAGGGGAAGCCTCATTGAAGAGGTGAAACATGAGCAAAGACTTGAATGACACAAGAAAGATAGCCATAAGGATATCTGGGATAAGAGCAGTAGACACACAGGGAAGGGCAAGCTCAACTACAAGAAGCAAGAGCATGGCTAGGAATTTGTAGTAGCAAGGAGACTGGGGCATAATGAGTGAGGGTGATGTGAGATCAGAACTGCAACAGGGAATCAGATCAGTGCTTTATAAGTCAGTGCAAGGGTTTTGGCTTTTACTCTAAAAAGAAGGGGAGCCATTGCAGGGATTTGAGCAGAAGATTTTCATGATCTGACTTAGGCTTTTAAAGGATCATTCTGGCTGTTGTGTGGATGCAGGCAGGGTTGGAAGTAGGGGGACCAGTTAGGAGGCTACAGCAATATTCAGATGAAAGATGATGGTTGCTCCCAGTAGGAGAGTTCTAATAGAAGTTGTGAGAAGTGGACAGATCTAAATGTGAAGGCTGACTTGATGTGGGGTATGAGAAAAAGAGAGGCGTTAGATGAAGTTTTCTTTAATCAAGATGGAGAAGATGCAGGTGGCTCAGGTTTGGATACAAGACAAAGAGTTCAGTTTTAGTGAGAATAACTTTGAAGTGTTTGTCACACGTTCAGTGAAGTACTGAGTAGGCAGTTGGATGTACAAATTAGTCTGCACTTGGAGAGAGAAAGCTGAATTGAGAATGTAAATTTAGAAATTATCAGGTTATGGACAGCGTTGAACTCCATGAGCCTGGATGATATCACCAACAGTTTGAGTTTAAACAGAGAAGATAAGGGGTTCCAGGATGGAGTCCTGGGACATTTCAACTTCAAAAGATAGTGGAGAATGGAGACAGGGGGAAGATGGCAGCATAGGTAAATGCCTGTACTCGTCACCTCCCACAACCACATCAAAATTACAGCTCAATACAGAACAACCATCATCCAGAACCACCAGAAAGCTGGCTGAATGGAAGTCCTACAACTAGGGAAGTAAATAAGAAAGCACACTGAGACTGGTAGGAGGTGCAGAGGCGTGGAATGGGCTGGTCCGGCACCCAGGTGTGCCGCTTTTTTAATCGGGAGGGAGATCATCTCTGTGGAGGCTGCCAGGAGGAGCAAGGGGTCCCAGAACCACACCAGATCCCCAGCCCAGGGTCCCAGAGCTGGGAAAAGAAATCCCTGTGGTCATTAAGAACTACAGGTTGTAAAAACCAGTGTGGATTGGGGCTCAGTGACACAGAGGCTGCTGGAGACCCATCTGTTCCTCTTAAAAGGCCAGCACCTCAAAATGAACTTACAAGATCCTGATTCCTCTGAGCGCCAGCACCAGGGCAAGGTTCTGGGGGACACACACATACAAGGAGGAACTGGATTGTCTGGCATCAGGGCAGAAACTCAGGGTGGCATTCTCCCAGACAGAGGTGCTCACAGGGATTATTGTTCCTATGCTGGGACCTCCCAGGTCACAGGGCTGACTGGCAACCATTTCTGTTTGCTCTACCCTGGTGATTCCCTAAGATCCCGCCTCATCCAATTTACAACTCCACCCAAGCTGTGTGTGTGTATTTTGCATATGAATGGCCTGTCCTTGCTCAGGCTAAAGTGTCTCAAACAAGCTGCAGCTGGGTCAGGGAGTCCCAAACTTATCAATAAAAGGCCTAAGACCTGGCACCAGCACCAGCCTGCCTTGCATCATAGCTGGGCCTTATCTGGGCACTTCCAAACCTGATACAAAGAGGAGGAATCTGCAGATCTCTCTGTAGCTCCTGCTGGGTAGCCCCAGACATTGGCTGACTTTGCACTTCCCTGGAGACCCAAGAGCCAGTGTACCCAGTGGTCAGTGTCAGCCTATACAAGATTACAACCCTACACATCTATAAACAACACACTCAATGAGCAGACTCAGTAAGCACCAAAGCCCCACTGAAGCAAGTCC